AGATGCCTGGGCCTCTCACCCAAAGGTACTGATTTCATTGATCTCGGTAGGACAAGATACGTAATTTTAGGTATTGTCAACCATCATTTATCTGAGAGTCCTTTACACCCATCACAGAAAATCTCTTTACTTTATTAAGAGAAAAAATAATCCCAGAACTTTGAGGGAGAGATGAGAAGCCAATCTTGTTATGATGAATAGACGCTGAGAGAGGAGCAATGTAAAAGGGGGTCTTCAGTGGAGGGGTCCGGCTGCATATCTATTTTAAAGTCGAAGAGACCCAACTCATCACCACTCTTCTTTCCTGTAAGAACAAGGGGAAATGAAGACTCTCAGTGGCATCAGTGACCATGTCCATTTGAGGGAGATTACTCAGAGGAACATGCAGGGGCCACCCAGGGGAGGGCAGTCACTGGGTGCCAATTCGGTCTTACGTGGTTTTGGTCACACCCTCACTTAGTAGGCCTGAGTCAGTTTCAGGGACTGTTATTACAATTTAATTTTGTTGAAACTGGCAGGTGGCAGAGGAAGGATTGCCTGGGGCTGTTTATCACTTAAGGTGCTAAGAGACCAGCCCCTGCAGACAATGCAGAGGTGCATGCGTTTCCGACAGCGGGACTTAGAAAGTCCTCTGAGGTGACTATTTGTGTCATGATTTTTAAATTTTCCATTTCTGTTGGAAAATTAATTCTGGAATAGTTTAAGAAATGCACCATTAGCCTGTTTAACTTCTAACCCACCTGAAATTTTGACCGAATCAAGTACGGTAAGTTTCCTGTGGCCGCAAATTTAGTGGCTTAAAACAACACAAATGTAATCTCTTACATTTCTGGCGATCCGGAGTCTGAAATGAGTCTTACAGGCTAAAACCAAAGTGTTGACAGGGCTGGTTCCTCCGCAGTCTCTGGGGAAGAATCCATTCCTCGCCTTGCCCAGTTTCTAAAGGCTGCCCTAGTCTCTTAGCTCATGGCCCGGATCACATCTCCTCTGCTCCCTCTGCCTCCGGGATCACAACACCCTCTTTCTGACTCCGACTCCCTCTGCCCCCTTGTGATCACTAGGACCCACCTGGATAAAGCAGGACACTCTCCATCTCAAGGTCATTAGGTTGGTCACATCTGCAAAGTCATTTTTGCCATAGAAAGTAACATTCACAGATTTTGGGGATGAGAATGTACTCATCTTTTCAAGGCTATTACTCAGTGGCCCAGGTGCTTACAGCTGGGTAGTTGTAGATGAAATAAGCGGTATTTACATCAGAAACCTTCTCCTTCCCCAACAGCTCCCTAGTTCCAACACTAGAGGACCCTTCTGCACTCAGAAATTCTTCCCTGAGTGGGTGTGGCTTACAGTCAATGCAGTGCTGTTGGCTGGTGCCCAGACCCTTTCTTTCCTGAGAAGAGGCAGTAGTGTGGCCTCTCAGGAGGCCACCCACTGGCATGGCAGTGATGCCAAAGTCCAGCAGATGCAGTTTGTACCTAGGGCTCAGAGCTTTCATACTCTGTTCCCATGCTCACCGCTTGTTTTTCAGAAGCAAACTCATCTATTACAAGTTCATTTTCCATGAGGCTGTTATATGAGAAATTGGAAGTGATTCCTCATTGGCTTATTACTTCCTAAAACTCGGTCAGCAGAATGGCAATCTCATTAGTACTGATTGAGCTAGCACATCTTGTGTAGGGAGACAATATTAATAAAACAAAACATCCTCCTGCGTATTTATTATTATAGTTGCATAATACATTTTAAGCCAAACACTTTTTTCCTCCAAGGGGTACAATTCATATTGTTCTATACAAGAAAACTCTTACAATACCTTTCCATGCCAAACTATATCAGAAATTTTACAAGTCTTGCTTTCCTTAAACCTTTCACACCTTTCAACAGTCTAGTGTTAGAGGTTTAGAAATAGTTCTACTTTAAAATATGCAGAATCATTCTGAGAATCTGAGAATCAATTAAGTGACAAACATGCTTTCAGAAACAAATTTCTATTCAAATGCAAGATCATAATGACATATATATAATATCTATTACTATAATAATTACTGTTGTCATCATGATTATTTGGTAGCATTGTATCTTAAATTCATTAGTATGTTTGTGAGTGATATTATTTAAAGAACAAATAATGAGTGACAGCATTTTATAGTGGAAAGAAGGCTGCCTTTGGAGTAGGGCAGACTTGGTTCGCATTCTTGCTGTGCCGGGGCTCTGAGAGCTGGGCAAGTTCATTTACTCCAAGCTCACTTCCTCGCTTGTTAAATGGGGGTATAAATATTTACCTTGTAGAGATGTGTGAGGTATATAATTATGTATATAAAGTACATTATACAACCCCTGATATACAATGTACCATCACTGAATGGAATGGCTATTATTACATTAATTGCCTTATAACTAATGATGATACTGACTGTCAGAAATCAATTCTTTTATGGAGATTGAACATGCATGAGGAACCATAGAGGTCTTTAGAAAGGCCTCTGACCGGCTGACTGTTTGCCTAGAGTCTGAGTTCCCATCCTCACTTCATAAATGCAAAGTAGACTGTATAAAAGAAAAAAAAATTCTCTAATTTATTCCTTTAAAATATTCATCAAATGAGGTAGGATTTCTGGGAAAGATTAAGAGCTTACATTTTTTATTAGACTTATGTCCCATAAAATTTTACAGAGGATAAAAGGAGGGGAAGTGCAGAGGCAGTACTATTTCTGTCTTATCTGCTACCTGTGATGATAAAGCTTCCTGAGATAGCATTAATTATAGTGGTGCCATTCACAATGCTGCTACTCATGCATGTTAGAATTTTTACCGAAATTCTATGTCTGGGCTTGGAAATCAGCAGCTGAATTTTTGTATGACGCTGAAACTTGAAGGCTATGACAGAAGGAACACCTTCAAATAGTTTGCTATGGATCAAATGTGCTTCCTGAATTCATATGTTGAAACCCTGACCTCCCATGCAATAGTATTTCTAGGTGGGGCCTTTGAGAGGTAATTAGGTTATTAGGATGGAGCCCTCACAAATGGGATTGTGCTTTTATAAAATAGACATCAAACACTCCCGTGTCCACTTCTCCACATGAAGACACAAAGGGAAAATGGCCATTCAAAACCCAGAAGAGAGCACTCACCAGAACCCAACATGGTGTCACCCTGATGTCGACTTCTAGCCTCCAAAAGTGTGAGAAATTAATTTCTGTTGTTTGTACGCTACCTAGTTAATGCTATTCTGGCATAGTAGCCACCCAAACTGACTAGGACAGGAGCTATGCAGAGAGTCCAGAAACCTATAAGGGGTTTCCCCAAAAGTTCAAGGCTGAGGGATGAACTTCATGTACACAGGGTGAGACCTCCTGAGGCTTTCCAGTTAGCAGCTGCTACAGGGTTGGGAACAGAACAGAATTTCTTGAGATCAAGTGCTGCTGGGGAACATTGAAGTTGTGAACCTTCCATTGTGGAGATGTACTTTTTTTTAGCACTTTGTTAATACCCCTGGATTCCAAGTGATATACCGGAAAGGCTGCACTTACCAGAAAGAACCATGCCCTATACTAAGGTCTGCACTAGACTTGCCTTAACAAAGTCTATAACCAAACATAACAAAACCTATAGAGGAAACAGAGTTTGGAAGTTGAGTCCTATCAAGTTAGAGGGGCTTTAAAAACATCTTAGGTTGCCTAGCTGGTGGTGGCTCAGTGGTTGAGCATCACTGAGTCAGAGCACATGCCCAGGCTGTGGGCTTGAATCCAGTAGAAGGCATGAAGGAGGCAGCCAATCAATGATTCTCTCTCTCTTCCTCAATCAAAATATATTAAAAAAACACATCTCGGGCTTTATACATATCTGCACTAACAAATATATCACTGTCTGCACAAGTTTAAGGTAATCATCCAGTAATTAAACTGCCTACCAAAACATTATTCAGTTGCAATAACAAACTGGTAAATATAATAAAAAATAAGAAACTATTTTTCAATAGTATAAAGAAAAACTATAATTAAATACCTAGGAATTAAGTAGGATCTTTAGGCAAGACATTTGAAACCTCTAGTAAAGAACATAGAACATGAGCTAAAAAATGGACAAACATTTTTATGTTCTTGGATAGGATGATGTAATATTCCTAAGATGTCAATTTCCCAAATTAGTCCATAAATTTAATGCATCATAATAAAAATTCCAGTTGGACTGTTTGAGGAGCCCGATGAAGGTACTCTAAAATAAAATGAAGCAATAAAGGATCCCAATAGCTAAATCAAATCCCATTAAGAAGAGCCTTGCCGAACAGGATATTAAGAAGTCCTAGTAATAAAGCAGTGCGATACTGTTGCAAGCATGACAGATAGAAGACTGGAACAGAATAGAAAACTTGAAGGCAGAACTTTAGGTAATTAATATATGACACAGGGGGTGCCACAAAGCACTAAGGGGAAGTTTAGAAAGTTTAGGAGATAGTGTTGGGAAATCTCGCTCACTCCGTAGAGGTAAAACAAGTCAGAATCCCAGATTCCTATCAAACATCATGTACAAAGATTGAGTTTTGACGGATTAAACATCAAATGTGAAAGGTAAAACTATGATTCTGCCAAGTCCCTTCTAATCCTGTTTCCCCAAGATGCCTTTGTAAAGTGGATAGTGAAATTCACATGAGAACAGTTATCCTTTTACACTTGGGGAAATTGACGCCGTAGGGGACGCCACTAGCTCACGGTGCTTCGCTACATTAGAACTCAGGACTCGGGAGTCCCACTGTCTCCCTGCGCCCGGTCCCTTTGCTCACGTACTCTCTCCTTTGTCTGCTTCTGGGCTCACAGTTTGATGTCACAGAAGCTGACCCGACCTCACTGTGCCCCTTGAAGCCCCGCCCCCTTGCGCGTC